AGCATATCAGGGGGGAAATCACGTTTGAGTAGCTGGGTAATGCCTTCCAGGATCACAAGCATAGGTGATGGGATGACTTGAAATGAACCGGAGTACATGGTAGCATATGTATATACGTGTACCTACTTGAATCTATATCGATGGTCATGGTGAAGCTGTAAGTTACTATAATACGAAATGCATACCTTACAGTTTCTGCGAAGATTCGGAAGGCAGTTCGACAATCTGGTCAAAACCAGGATACTGAGGTAGGTTCAGCTGATACTTTTCTTCCATTTCCCTACAAGAAAATAAGTGCGAGAGCGATACGGATCGAAAAAGAGAACATACTTAGGCACGAATCTCCCTCCGAGAAAATGCCTCCCCTTAAATTTCCTCACTCCCTCCTTGGGCGCTGTCAGGCTGATCAGTACGTCTGGATTCAGGCCAACGCCTAGGTCGTTCCCTTTCTCAACATTCCATCCTGAAGGTATATCAACCGAGACTATTGGAAGCTTGGACTCGTCTAGAAGCGGGAGCACGGCGTCAAATGGGGTGCGGATGGGTGGTTGGAAGGAGAATCCGAAGATCGCGTCTAAGATAACGTCTGTGGAGCGGAGCGCGGTTCTCAGTGGCTCAATGTCATTGGAAGGAGGGATGGTCGGGATTTGCATGTTCGCACACTGGGTTTGGAGGCGCTGGAGATATGTGTCAGTTGAACAGAGCTAGTGACATTAAGATGGGAAGCATACCTTATAGATATCCTTTGATCCAGGCTTGCGGAGTCTTAGTTATTAGGTATAATATAAACAGCTGAAAGACATACCTTGGGCATGTAGATGGTCGGCTCGTACCCGAACATACCTTTCAGAACGCGTCAGAATGCCCGTCATTCTAGGCTATTAGACCGTACACCCACCTAGATGACGAGCTGCAACTAGCCCATCACCACCTTCAAAATGACACTCACTATCAATTCATAGGATTCCACCGAACAGTAGCCCCAACACACCTTGGTTTCCAGGGCCGCAGCATACCAGCACTCGTGGAAACTTCTCTTTGCTGTAGACTTTTGCCAGTGTCTGTGCGCAAGCCAGGCCAGCCAATTCCATCAGCTATAGGGGTCCAAAAAATTCATCAATACCTCGCTTCTATAATATCAGTCATTGCTCACTTGGTCGAGGCTGAACGCCCCGGTGGCATTCATGAGCTCCTCATCAATCTGCACGCGACGCGTTCAGTACCTGTAATGTATCATGGCTAAGTACCGCCATCCAAGAGATGCTGGCTCACTTGCTGAGCGATTTTGGCCGTAAGGTACCTGATCGACATGGTGGTAGATGATCAAGAGTGTCGTCGAAGTTGGGGAACTGGGGAACGATGATGGTGATGTTTGCTTCTGCTCCTGCTGCCAAACTTGTAGTCAATCGATCGATCAGCAGGGTGAACGGATGTTGGAAAGTTCGAAAATTTATCATCTGTACAGATCTGGATATTGTTTCGGAGGTAGACCTGCGCGGAACGAAATGAAAGACAGAAAACGTCAATGTTTCCCTGACGGTAGCCATGTGCAAGCAAAAACCCGTGATGATTGGATACAATGCAGATGGTGAAGGAATCATGGAGATGGTACAACCGCGATGGTAATGTAATAATATAGCATAGAGTTTAACAAGAAAGTCCACAGCAACCGCAGAAACGGAGATAAGAGAGTGAAAAGACATACACTTATGACAGAAACCATAGAAACAAAATGCAACGCAAGAATCAACAGCAGTTGGAAGTATCCAGCCATAACTCAAACCATAGGTGTGGCGCGTACGCAGACCCTCCTGTGCTCATCCCAATCCTTCCTCTGGTGCTCGGGCGAGCAATATTTGACAAGCTTGCACTTGCTACAAGTCTGCCCGAGCACCACTCCCGACCCCGTCGAACCAGACTCAATGCTCAACTCTGAGCCCTCTATACTGCTGCCACTTGCACTTCCCTCCTCCAATTGCAGAGCCTCACCCGCACCAAACTCCACATCACAGTCGATCCAATTGCACATTTGCTTTCCCCTGATGCGTCGTCTTCGTGCAGTCTTGCCTCTGCGAACATCGAGCACGGCGGCCTCCTCTGGCCCCCTGCGCGGGAAACGGATCATCTCGCAGTCGTCTGTGCAGCACGGATTCGGACATCCGGTGGGGTAATCATAGAAGATATCGGCGTCCGGAACATAGTGCTTCTCGGTGAAGAAGATCTGGGAGTAGGAAGTAGTCTGATGGGAGAAGAGAACCAGAAATCGGGGACGTTTCTCATGAAGGATAGCACGCAGTGTGAGGTCGATCTGTGGAAAGCAGGGTGTACGTCGTTGACGCAGGAGGGTGTGCGAAAGGCGCATGTCTGAGATACATGAAATGTCAGCAACATCTAAGATGAAAGGGGCAGAGACGCACGTTCGTGTTGTATTCGCGCCTCTATACTGGGTTTACATCTCCGTCCAAACGAATAGCGGCACGCGAGCTTGAAATACTCAGTGACGTCGTCCATCTCCTGTCTCTTCAAGTCTGTAACGATAACATAGATTTCATCGCAGCCCGTATCGTGCATACCCCGCAGTAGCATCAGTTCAGGCAACTGTGGCGAACCAGATCAGTAAGACAATATAAGACAAAATCACATCCCTCTCACTAGTGTAAAGACTACAGGCATCATTGAGAGTCTTCTCTCCTGCATTGAGCGATGGTGATAGACATGGGTCGTCCATGTCCTATCGAGGGGAATAAGACGGCCAGTATCGACAGTACGGCAAAATACATTCTCAGGAACGAAATCACCCTTATTCCAAGCAATGATCTGCTTCATAGTATTGGCAGTGTTTGTATGGAAGGGGTGCTTGCGCTCGCGGACGTCCATGAACCAATCGTGATATGCATCATGGGCGGTGCTGCGATGGTCCAGCCATTTGTCGATTAGCATGTCGGTTGAGTCGTGGTCGAGGGTGGTTTTAACGAGCTCAGACATGGAGAGGCTGGGGGGCTTCAGCATAGAGTAGTGGCGCTGCCGACGACGCGGAGAGCGCTTCGGTTGTTGTTCAGGATCGGCAGCCATGGTGAACTCGGCGGGTCAGACAATGAACAGGGGTCTTGAAGAAAGCACGCAAGAGGCGGGCGGTGCGGTCGCATGTTTGGCAGCAGCCCAAAATGGAAACAATGTGCACGCGAAGGAACCGGCCCTAAAAAAACGCGTCACCAAAAACACTGGACGAAAACATAACAAGGCCGATGACCATACCACAATGATAACAAAAGAACGAAAACACTAATATTGAAAAGATGTCTCATATTTAAAAAGGTACGCTCACTCCGAAGAATCACAAAAGAATCAGAGCATGATGCAATTATAATTAGGACAGAACGACTAAAGTAATGCGAGCATGCAACGAAGTTCAAGCTTGTAAGGACTATTCGATAACTACTCGATATTAATGCGTCACAGATATGCAACACACATGGGCCATTCCGGATATTTAGTGGCAACAACCACAGCAGTGAGAGCAAGCAGGCTTAGAATCTATTCACGGCGGTGTCAGCAACCAAACTCTCATTGAAGGCTATTACATCTTCCTCACCAACAACCAGACGAAGAGGCTTATCTTCATACAATCCATCTCCACCCGCCAGGATTTCCTCCACAAGGACGTGCTCCTCGATCCTCTTTCCACAAAACTTCTGCCAGTGTACGACGGGGCGCAGCTTAGGTGCAAGGTATCCTTGGTTGAAGATGTGGTTCGTCACATGCGCAAGACGGTCGAGTCTTCCACATGCTGTGGCTCCCGGGACAGCGAGCTTGACGCGCTGAGTAACAACGTGTGCAGAAGGATTGTTCGTGTAGACATAGCTGAACCAGAGGTGGCTCGGGACGTCCTCTGACATTTCGGAATATTAGAAGCTATATGCAAGACTGCAAAAGAAAACAAACGAACCAACGACGAGCCTCAGAGCGTTGTCCGGACACTTTCCGACGCCCTGTTTCAACAATTCCTCGACAATATGGCTAGCCTTGATCTTCTGACCGTCCTTGCGCTCCCACCAGCTGTGAGGACGATGCTTCGCCTCCACGTAACCCTGTCGAAATACTATGATATTCCGTGATACTACAGTCAGTGAGTATTCTCGTGTTTAAGAAAGAGGTAAAACCCACCATGCTCGAGAACATCCTCTAGGTCGGAGAGCTTATTGTTCTGGAACTCAAGCTCGATGAGCTGAGTGGTGAGGGGGAGGTGGGCGCGCGAAGCGAGTTGGTAGGTCAGCCAGAGCTCAGTGCCGGTCATTTTGAGTTTGGAGAACTGGAAACGAGACGAGAGGGGAAGGTAATGTGTTGGTGAAGAGAATTAACTTGCTGGCAGACTCGAATTTATGTATTTTGCCCCACAGCTAGGGCCATGAACCGTGAGCCGACGTGACTATGTGAAGAGGAGTTACGCGAAATTGCGGATGAATTCTGACCGTCTCGTGGCGGGGGGCGGTGGCGGGTTGATGTCGGTGATGCATGATCATCTCTGCAATAGGATTTTTTATTTTTTATTTTTTATTTAAGAATTATAAACATGCTTCATCCTAAGTTGAGTATTGTATTCAATACTAAGGGAGACTGACGAGCCTACTGTTTATTGTATCTTTGGTGGATGCGGCTTCATAATACCTATAACACCACTCATTAGCCTATCGAATTAAGACTTCCAAATTAAGAAAGGCCAGCTCTACGATATTCATTACTTGTGTTCTTTGCACCTCTCTAACCAACGACCCAACTCCCGTCAAGCTTCCTCCAGTTCTCTCCAACTATTTATAGATCTCGAATATGCATTACAACAAGTACGTCCGAACTCAACCATAAAAATAGTAGGATTCGAACGCAGATCATATTTATTCCGTACCCAGGAGAGGTTTTTCTGGTACGATTGAGTTCAAAATTAGGTGAAACACGCTCGAAAAATGTTCCACGTGCTGTCGATGATTTATTCCCCACCCGATTAAGCCGTCGTTGTATAATGGTTATTACGTTGCTTTCCGGCGTCACATGATGTGCTAGGCAAAGATTGTGGGTTCGAGTCCCATCGACGGTTGATTTTTTTCGCAAAGATTACGCGAGGATGGTTTTCGGTCGATGAGGAAGGCAGGGAAACAAGGAGAACATAGAAGCTCTATTTTTAGCTACGCGAAGTCGAAATCATAGCCAAATTTGATATACACACTCTTATGTGAATAAAGCTTAGAAAGAATTGGAAGAAGCTCGCAGATATTCCACGGTATCTAGAATATCTATACACACCTATTCTTCCAAGCAGCCCAAAATACATTTGGCATGTAGTGTTCTTGCCATGCAACAATGCGAGCGCTTTCAAAGAGCATCAAATGATGGCGCGTTTGGGCCCAGTAGCAAACGCTCCGAAATCTGGGAATTGCTGTTCCCATCTTATAGTTTCTGAGGTATAAGAGTATTTATCATGTAGAGAAGCACACTGGAACTCAAGTGTAGTAGTCCGGACACCGAGTCATACATACAACTTAGCGGCTGATTGCAGGAACTGAGAGGAAATCGGTAATTGCCGTAGATACAAGACAGCTATGCTACTTGCCAGCAGGTTACTCTACTACGCAATGCTTCGTGCAACCCCCTGGAGCACATCTATCTCTGCCTCATGACAATTTGTTATAAACCATACTCAACCCATGGTCTTAGCTGCTGCACCCCCTGGCAGACTCTGAATCACTTTCAACGTTTACTTATTCTAGATTTCCACATAGGCACCGATAAACACTGGCTTCAAGTTGGCAAAGCTTTTCGCCTCTCTTGGCCGCGCAAACCCATAGTTCCGTTTATTCTTTCTGTATTGAGCGGCCACTCCACATCTGTAAGCAGGGTCACCCTGGACTATCGATCAAGTTAATGTTCAGGGCTTAAACCATTGTAATTTGTTACGACGCTGAACGAAGCAAAAGCTGTCTACATTTGACTCTTTGTCAATAATTCCTAAATGTGGTAGTAATCTTCAAACTACCGAAGCGGATAGGCAAAAAAATGCATATTAGTTCTTCAGCTTCGCTTCCATCGGTTCTCTAACTCATCGGTCTTTCTCATTCCTCAACAACACTTCTTTGGTTCGTGGACCTTCCAAGCCTCCCAACGACGCCTTTACAAAGCCAGACAACAAAAAGAATCTCATCCAGTAAAACGCACGTTGAGAACGCGACCTTGAGCCCTACAGTCTGATCCTCATCTATAATGCAAGTCATAACTTTTCATCAATTCTCTCCTCCAAAACAACGCTGATCCCCCAAGTTTATTCTAATTGGGAAGAAGAGTGGAACGATCTTTTCAAGCTCTAGACCCACTTTGGCCTCCTTTTTGCGTCTCATGCTCGACAAATGACAGCTACACGCACTCGGATGGATAGGCCAATATATCTGGATAACCTACAGGCAGTGAGTTGTGTGTAGCCTATAGTATTGCGAAGTTGAACTTCTGCGAACATTTTAAAGGTTCATAACTAAATCCTACAAGCTGAGAACGGAAGTACTTCTACCAAGATACATATTAATTTCAAAAATCCGTCATACAACAATGATACACAATAACAAGAGGCCAAGGAATACACTTCGGGGTGATTATATCTAACGTAAGGTAGTCAAATTGAAGAAGTACTAGTGTTTCTCGGAAACACGTTACAGTGGAATAAAGTTTGGACACCCAACAGCTAGTTGAGCATTTGACTGCCAAGGAGACCACCGATTATGTGGAGGAGGCACTACAGTAGGGCCTTCAGCTGGAGGAGAGGTGATTATCCTAGGGCTCGGGAAATGAGCGTAATGCGATGGAAGTGGAGTATATAGTATTGAGGTATTCTGCGCGGGATAATAATAGCTGTGATGTAAAGGAGGGGTGGCAGAAGCAGACGTAGGAGGCGATAGAGAGTAGGGTTCAAAGCGTGCGCATGAGAAGTCACTAGTACGAGACACTGGAGCTGGGAGACGGGGAATTTTTGGTGGTTTAGAGGTATATGTCTGTGGATTGTATGCTGGATCGTACCAAGGATCGTAGCGCGGATCGTCCTGGGTGGTAAGAGATTGAGATTTCCGAGAATCCTTCTTCTTTTCCGCTGAAACCACAGTTCGTTCGCGATCCTGCACAACTTTCTTCAACAGCAACAACCTCTCCTCAGCCTCGATCTTCAGCCTCTTAGCATCGTATCTTTCCTTCTTAGAAATGTGGACAGAGCGCTCTGCTTCTAAACATTTTATTTCTGCTTCAAGGGTTCTCCGACGTTGTTTGTGGAAGTCCGTTTCTAAGCATGTATCATGTGCGTCGTCATCCGAATTTGCGTCCGACGCGTCAACGACCGTATTTTCCCGTTGAATGCTAGCAACTAGGCCCTCTTCGACCCGTCGTGACCTTTGACGCGTATAATTAGCAAAAGATGCGGTTTCTTGCCGAGCAAAACTTACCTATCTGTGGCTCTCGAAAATAAGGTTGCTGCCGCTCCGGTGTCATATATAAGTCGAAGTTCGGCTGCAATAACTGGCATTGGGTGCTAACGAGTCGAAAATAAGGATACTGGACGTGTACCGTTGTTATAAATTGAATTTGAAACGTTTTAGTTGTGGAATGAGTCGTGAACGAACTCCGGGCTGTTTGGTAACGCGTCTCAACTCCCCGGGGGCGCTTGGTGCAGCTCTTGACACAAAAAAGACGAGGCGGAGTCGCTGAGAGAGGTGAGAAAGATGAAGGGGATCTTAGAAAAACAGGAAGTTTGTTGACACTCGAAACGAGCTGAGGGCCAGGGGACAGAATCCGGAGAGATACAATTTGAAAGTCCGCGGGCACGGTGCGTATTGTTCACCTGCAGATGACACCAACGTTGGCATTTTGTTGGTCGAAATATTGAAGATCCATCCGTTTATATAAATGGTAGCAGCGATACATATATCAGAGCAGCGATAAATATTTATCAGAATAATAACCCTTTGTATATGCAAGGGCTTTGAATGAAAAGATAAAATGTTCCGTCCACGATTACATCCTAATCCTTCTTCGGCGCCTTCCAGTCCTTCAACCACTCCATGACGAACACGATCATCTCGCCATGAATCTTCCTAATCTCAGGGGGTTCCTCGAGCAGGTTCTCCAGACCGTACTCGTCATAGTGGTGGACGCCGTCTGAGGTAAATAGACATCAGGACTCAGACTTCAATAGTTGACGCGGAGGAAGACATTTACCTGGAATAAGCTTGAACGGACGCAGAATGGTATCTTCGCGATCTGCAGCGTCATCGCTATGCGGTGTATCGGGGCGCCAAGGGTCAACTGTAGAAGCACAAGCGATCAGCATTTGGATCGGCTATTCTAAGTACATATGAGTTCTGCGAACTTTCACGGCGATAGCACACCGTGCAAGCAATGGAGGCCACGCGTCCCAAGGACGTACAGCATGGATAGAAGGCCGTCGTAGGCATCCCTGTGTTATCGCAGCAGCCTCCGAACCGAGATGTTGGAACAGCTTCGGTTCGATTGCCACTGACAGTGCATACAGAGCTTTGAAACAGAAACATAAATAGAAATATGACATACCTTCACCATCAATGATGGCCAGGCGATCCGCAGCGATGGCAAAATCGCCAAGGATATTGACTGCGGTGATGTTAGGTAGGTTGGGAATGGTGAAATGTTCACCAGGGGGAAACGCCTAGCAAATACAAGAGATTAGAGATCATTCCAGGAGAGGATAAGTTGTGGACATTAAACCAACCTGTTTGCATGTCTTGGATTCATAACCGAGCGTAAGGAGCTTTGAAACGATACGCGGTTGGTTCTGGTCTGGTGGGGCTGTCTATTGACGAATGTATATTAAGAGAGTTGCACAAGCCATGTGAGAAGCACAACATACAGTGAAATAGCCCCACTCGGTGCAGACCTGGAATAGCCACAGTCGCCAGTCTTGGTCGAGGCCGGTATCGAGGTACTTGGAGCCATCATAGGTCCCAAAACACTAGAGAAATTATTATGAAAATTAGTTCCTTTAACTCGAGTATACGAACACCTACATCCTCGACGCCAAACTCGGGTGGGCATTTGGAAACAATATTCTAAAGAGTGAACGACTTAGCGATGAGAACAGAGAACCACTAGTTATCTTACCTGTTTAATCCAGCTAGCATAATTGACAATCGCGAAATCGAGAGCAAGGCCATCAGCGATAGGGACAAGCCGATCTTCGTGGTTGAACGGCAGCTCCTCAAGGTTGTCCGCAGCGATTCTTCCGAAAGGTTTTCCAAGAGTCTCACAGAATTCTTCAAATTTAGTGCTTCCAACAGCTGGATCCCAGCATTTCGCTTGCCATGATCCGAGAGGGCTCTACTATTTATCAGCTACTGTTATCAGCGTTGGCATTGAGAACAAACCTCCAGCACCGACACAAAATCATCATCGTGTGCAAGCCCTCCAAGGCCGAATAGGCCCTTCAAATGGCTTTTCACCACCTCAGGTGCGTGGTCAAGAAGCTTATCGATGGTAGTGATAGAGTTGACGATATGCGCGGAACATTTGGGGGGAGCGGCGTTGCGGATGATTTCCATATATTGCCAGTTCTCGAGGGCCGCGTGGGTGACGGCTGAGGAGTCATGAGCATGCATTTGAAGTGGAAGGCGGAGACATACCACTGGATGCAATGGCTCCGTATACGAGCTCAGGGTACAGGATCTTCATGTGGGCAGCGCGTGCACCCGCATACGAGCCCTGCGATATAATTAGCGTCCGTTTGGGGGTGGTTGGAAGAACGTACACCGTAGTATATCCAGGGAGTTCCAGGGGCTGTCAGGTCCTCGTCGATGCCGTCAAACTTGACCTTTGCCATGAATTCAGCGCTGTCTGCAGCCGCCTGGTCGTTGTTGAGCCACCTGTGAATGGTCAGTAGGAGTCTAGCCGCAGCTCAAGAAGGCATACCGCAGAGAATCAGTGGTGAAGTTGGAAACAGGGATGGATTCGCCTGAGCCGATATTAGTAGAAGATGAAAGGCGAAGTGCGAGAAACATACCATAGTATCGGTGCTCCAGAACAACACCAACACCG